ATAACTAACTCTTCTCTAAATATATCTTTATACTAAGCTAGAAGAGGACTTAATTATTATAGATTAGTTAATACTTCTTTACTCCTCTTTTATTCTTAAATAATATATAACTAAGCTTCTTATTAACTCTTCTAAAGAGTATATTAAAGCTATTTTATAGAGATAAGATTAAGAGATATTTCTTTATTAATCTTAATTTAAGTTCTTAGRTTAATAGGGTAGATARTTATATAYTTTATTCTATATTCTTTAATAAYTATCYWTCYWRTAAYCTAATTAATATTARGGTTRAARTATTTTAGCTARTYTTAACCTAARATAATATTATACTCTATTATTTTAAGGACCTAGGGAGTAATAATATAGTACTAATTACCTAACTTAAGTAGAATTTAAACTTAATATAATATATATATAAATCTACTATTTAGTAGATAAATCTATAGTTATTTAGATATTTATTAAAATTAAAACTATAAAGAAGGTAATAAATTAGCTAGATATTTTAAAATAAATATATAACTAGAGCTATAGTCTAATAGTACTTAGAGATAGACTACTATCTAAGAAGCTTTAAGTATAGTAAGGAAATAGAGAATATTAAATCTAAGAGTATTTAAATAAATATTAATATTATTATAGTCTTCTAGCTCTAAATCTATTTCTATTATATTAGATAGTCCTTCTTATAGTAGCTAATTTTCCTTATTACTATTATTATTAGAATTATTATAATYCTYTAGTAGTTTAAGATTATTAAATACTTTATATTCCTTAACTTTAGAARCCTATAATAGTTAACTAACTAGTACTTCTATATCTAGTAGTCTATTATATTTCCTAACTACTTCTTATAATTAGATTATAGCTAGTTTAGTATAGTATAAGCTTAGATATTATAGTCTTTCTATCTATAGTTAAAATAAGCCTAATTAATTTAATATTATACCTTCTATTTATATATTCCCTTCTTAGGTTAATTAGGGGATGCAGTAATAGCATTTAAATTAATATCTATTAAATCTATTTAATAATTATTAATTTCTCTAAAGAATTAAAGCTAGACCTAAGTATATAAAGCTACTCTTTATTTATACTTAATAAAATAATAAACTATATTATTAAAAGTAATTAGTTTATTATAATCTTCTACCTAGTAAGTATATAGAACTAGCTTTAAATTAGTAATATACTTCTAGATTAATATATTATTAGGAATTCTAGATTTAATATATTTAGTAGCTTTAATTAGGAAAGTAATATAGAATTATATAATTTAATTTCTTTAAGTATATCTTTTATACTCTTTCTAATATTTATTCTTTTCTCTAATTTCTCTAAAATAATCTTAGACCTACTATTTAAAAGTATCTAAAGTAATTATAGTAATTATTAAATTATATTTAGCCTTCTACTTATAAGTATTCTATTACTCTTTAGCCTAGTCTATAAAATAATACTTAATTATTATAATCTTTTTAAGTTTAATAGCTTTCTTCTAAGTAAGAGTTTACTTATTATAAAAGTATTTATTAATTTATTATAGCTACTTTATTATAGCATCCTTACTATACTTACTATTATATATAGGGATTAGTTTAAGGTTAGAAACCTTCTAATATAGCTTAAGTACTTTAGAAAGAATAGTAAAGAGAACTATAAAGTTAAAAGTAGTATTTATAGCTTCTATAGTCCTATCTATATTAGTATAACTTAGATAGTTATACTAGTTTTAGAGAAGTTTAACTAACTATTTATATAGCTAGATTAGTTTAGCTTAGGTATCTTTATTTATGCCCTAAGTAGTAAGAGTAAACTATTATTAGAGTTAAAGATATTCTATCTTAAAGCTATTATTATAATTAGTAACCTGGGTTTAAGGGGTCTCTATACTAGAAGATATAGATTTAATATTATCTATTTTATTAAGTAAAGAATAATATCTAATTAAGAGTAAAAATTAGATTAATAATTATTAATATTAATTTAAACTTATTAAAATAACTTTAATAACTCCTAATTTATCTTTCTTTAAGGTCTAATTATTAATCCTATATTTATTACTATTTAAAAGACTCTAATAGCCTATAATATCTATAACTTATAATATTACTATAGAGAAGAGTTAATAAGAATATTCTAATAGTAAATTATTACTCTTTTAGATATCTTAATTAGTCTGAGAAGGTTGAAAACTATTAATTTAAGGTATTTTCTATTAAATTAGGGATAATTAATATAAGGGATTTTATTAAAGTTAAATTATTAATAATATTTCTAAGAGTTAGTAGACTAAGGCTACTATAATTTAGATTAATTCTTTATAAGGGATTTTAAATCTTCTTAGAAATTAAGTATTATATATTTACTTAATTTAGATATACTACTAGATAGGATATTTATTATTATTAAGGATGTAGAGTCTTTAAAGAGTATAAGGATAGGAGGTAGACTAATAACTACTCTATATATATCTTCTTTACTTTAAGGAATTCTAGCTATCTTTTATATTTTAACCTAAGCTAAGAATAAATATAAGATCTAACTAACTATATAAATAGTAATATTAGTTACTAGATATTATTACACACCTAATATGGCTTCCTTGAAGCCATATGCCTGCTGTTAATATCACACTAATATTATTAAGCCTTCTTCCTTCTATGAGGCAATCAACTCTCCTAAAACAGATAATTAGTGGAATACTATAAAAGTAGAAGTAGATAATCTTATTAAGTAAGGCACCTAGGTGCTTAAGGCCCTACCTGCTAGCTATAAGGCTATTAAGGGGTGTTAGGTCTATAAGATTAAGATTAGTACTAATAATAAAATTATCTAATTTAAGGTAAGATAGGTTGCCAAAGGCTATATCTAAATATCTAGAGTAGACTTTAATTAGATATTTTCCTCTACTATAAAGCTAGCTACTATCCACCTATTCTTTATACTTATAGCTATCTTAGGCTATTATTATATTAAGGCAGATATTAAGCTTGCTTTCCTATAGGGTAAATTCTTTAATAGTAAAGTTATCTATATAAAGTAGCTACTAGGTTTTAATAATAAATCTAGCTATATATACAGACTATTACTTTCTTTATATAGATTAAAGTAGTCTATATATGCCTAGTATCTTATCTTCTATAGTAGAGTTACTAAGATTAGATTATAGCTATCTAAGATTAATAAATACCTCTTCTTTAATACCCATAGTATGCTCCTTATCTTATATATTAATAATATAGAGATTACTAGACCTTCTAAGTAGATTACTAAGGGGGTATATAAGACTATTAGTAAACTATTTAATATTTTACTTATTAGCCTAGCTACCTATTATCTAGACATAAAGATAGACCTAGATATTAAGAAAAGATAGGTTAAGCTATCTTAATATACTTATCTTTAATATCTTATTAATATATTTAATCTATATTTAGTTAAAACTATAGTAATACCTATAGAAGAAGGTGCTTAGCTAGTTAAATTAGATAAGCCTATTAAATATAATCTTAAACTTAAAGAGAGATATAGAGTAGGAGTTAGCTTAGTTATATATCTAATATTATAGACTAGGCTAGATACTGCCTTTACTATTAGGAAGCTGGCTAGATATACTATAAATCCTAATAAATTATATTTTAAGTATCTTATTCATCTTATTTAATTCTTCTATTAAACCCTAGATATCAGAATCATCTATAAGCCTCATAATATAAAAGATATTATATATAAGCTAGGTATTATTATTAGCTATATTAATATAGATTATATAGGATATATTAATATATACTATTTAACTACTAGATATATCTTTATATTTAGTAATAGGCCTATCTTATAGACTTTTAAGCTATAATTAGTCATCTCTTTATCTATATATAAGGCTAAATATATTACTATTATTAATACTATAAAGAAAGTTATCTAGCTTACCTATCTCCTTAAAGATATTAGCTTTAATAGTATATACCCTATATAGATTAACACTAATAGCTAGCCTACTATAGACCTAGTTTATAATACTTAATTCTATGCTCATAGCAAGCATATTAATATTAATTATTATTAGATTAGAGATATAATAGTTAAGAAGCAGGTCTTCCTATAGCATCTTTTAATAGATAAGATAATTATAGATCTTATAATAAAGCTACTTAGTCATCTAAAGTTTAATTAATTCTTTAAGGTGCTAGGCTTAGCCTAGTAGAGCACTGTAAATAGCAGATCTTAATACTATAATTATAGATTAACTACCTAATTAGGAAGTGGCTATAACCTTATTAATTAAATCTAGGGGTGTGTGACTATACTCAGTATAGCAGAGATCTAATCATATAATCTCACTTAGTAGATAGCTCCTTCCACTATATAATAGTAAACATAGATTTACATACATAATGAATTAACGAAATATCTTCATATTCTGAACCTCTCTCTGCTCATTCTACACACAAGTCATATCAAGTCACAGAACGTCTCACTCCTCTGCTACATACAAACATATATATATCTACTGTATCATTCCATCATGTCATTCAATAAAATCCTGGCAAAAAAGGCTGTCCGCACCATTGTTAAAGATGGGGTGACAATTACCCTCTCCGTTGCGACCCGTACAACAGAGTGGAATCGTCCAGACGCTGTCGTCGCGCCCATTGGCGATTCCCTCGCTTGATCAGTTGCCAAGTGGGATGGCCCCGTCCCTCCTGGTACTAAAGAAATTTGTGCAAGGTTAGTATCATACACTACGCCAACTTTCATAATAAATATTTAAATGAGAGATATAGGGAAGCTCAACACCCAATTGACGAACCACGCAAGCACCTCACCGTGGTTTGCTTTGATGGAGAAGGCAAGGGAAAGTCGCAGCATGTCCCGTTCGTGGAAGAGTCAAAGTAGCAATTTGCTAGAGTAGGATGCCATTCAACATGTTACGATGGAGTGAATAGTTTGTCTTGCTTTGGATAAGGGACGCGTACAGAATGAAAATTATATAATCACATTTCCTCCCTATCCTCCTTAAACCACTCATGCTCTAACAACTCCCTGGCCGTCGGCCTGTCCCTCCAGTCCATCTTCATGATCCCCATAATGAACTCTTTATCTTTCTTACAAACCTCTTTCTCTGTTATCATAGAAAACGGTGTAGTGTCTGATTTAGGAATCTCCTGCATAACCCACATTATGGCGCGCACAGTCTCAGGGCTCGCAATTTCTTCATACTTGCCGGGCCACGGGCCAAAGTATCGGAATTGTTGTTTCAAAACCTCTAGGCTATACTCTTCATGGCCATAGGGTACGGTGGTGGGGTCGAGCAAGTTGAAATCGCCACCGTAGATCAGGCTTATAAGCTGCAAGCGGGATCAGTACTTTTTCGTTTATTTGAATAGGGATGAGAAGCTTACCACGGCTCCAAATGACCAAATGTCGGTTGGAGAGCCCCAAGGCGTTTCCATAATCATTTCCGGACTGCGCCACATAGGCGCTCCCAGTGGAGTACCTGATTTTGCCCATTTCGAATCAATAAGACATGTGCCACCAAGATCCCCAAGCTGGACATCTGAAAATCGCACATCGTTCTCTACACCTCTGTCTTTGTAATTTACAAAAACATTATCTGGTTTAACATCTATAGATCTGTTGTCAATGAGGTCTCTAGAAGGGCAACCAAAGTATATTGTAGATTTACCTGCATGTACATAACCGCCCTCGTGAAGAACATTTAGCGCTTCAAGTACACATCTTGAGACGTGCTTAAGCTCTTTTCGGTTCAGTGGCCTTTTTTTTGTTGCTTGAAGTAGATCATCCTCAAGGTGTTTCAAGACAATAGTAGCTGGCTCAGGTGGATCTTCAATTTCATCAAGTAAGGGCCGTAAGCAAGGAGTGCTGTCCTGAAAGCGTTTGAGAACATCTCGTTCATTCTTCACACGTGGATGGTCCTGAACGCCCTTAATGATGACAGTCTCTTTGGCTAGATTGCTAAGAAATAAATGAGGATATCTTCGCAATAACCTGACCTGGATTTTTGTGCACTTACTTTGCGAGCCAAACGGTGTCGTGGAGTTGTTTTGCGATCGTGTATTTCCCTAACTTGCCTCGAAGAACCTGTCCGATTCGAAAAAGTGAGGACGACATCATCTGTAACGCGTAGGGCGAAGCCTATCTCAGTTATATGGAAACTGGATTCGAAAACTTCTGTACTATGAAAAAGCTAGGTGTCTTTCTGCGCTGATTTCATTATTTCCTGTGGTCGTCGAGGCTGGATATCGGTTGATGTTGGTTTGGCCTTTGGCGAAGAGCTAACTAAGTACGAAGTAGTTAGTTAACAATAGTTAGATGACTCAGCAACGTAGACGGCAGTGTGTCGGGTGAGGGAGAACGGGAGGAGAGAAAAGAAAAAGGAGGTGAAAGTGCGTCGTCGTTCGAGGGAGAAGGTTGGGATTATATAGATAGAGCGGACGAGTCGAGGCGGCAGGAGACGGGCAAAAGCAGCAGGAGACGGCGCGATCCCCAAAGGGGCAGACACCATACCGCAACGAGCAGGGGGATGCCCACAGGCGGCAGGCGGTGATGACCGGCAGACTGTCGGTTCAATGGGGGCCATTTCCGGCGCCCTGCTAACCGTCATATACCAAGTTTTTTTTCCCTTTATCCCTCTAGCGAAGCGAAGACACTTTTTGAGTTCACTGATATAGGTAAGAACGAATGTGGGCAAGTACAGTGGGAAAACAAAAATAGTAGCACTTGGAATATCTGTAGAACCTTATAATTACCTTCATTGCCATGGTAGATTTAATACAGAATTACTGTAAGAGGATGCTGAAGTAGAATGTTGACTCCTACCTTCCTCTTATTCCTCCAACAACTTCCATCCAGTTGTTTGGAGTATATTAATTATGTAATATCATAATATGATTATTTAAAACCCTTCAATGGACAATATCAGCCTTGATTTTTCTCAGTTCTCGAAGAGACAAAGTCGACTATACTAAACAAGCGTGGACTTGAGCAGGAGACTAGAACACCAGCTACAATAGTTACCCATGGTGTGTAAGAATGCAAAGGTATACTCCACTAAAAATACTGACATGGGTGTGAATGGATTAATTATGGATCATTGTTATAAAGCTGACGGTGGATCTTGGAATATTGAACTTGGAGAGATGCCCGGGTCCAATGTTTAAAGTGTTTCAAAAAGCGTTTCTCAACATCCAGCTAGGGCAGATAGAGCTGGCCTCTTAGTTCGCCCAGTAGCTGGTTCTCCGCAGGTGAATAGGATCGCCGCTTGCGGCAATTGCCGCGCTTTATAGGTCGCGACTCCTGTTGCTTCTGTGAATCAGGATCAGAGCGTGGTGGCTGAGCAGAGGGCAGCTCCAGTAGCAACGGAGATAGTGGATGATGAACAGCATATGGAAGAAATGTGAGATAAAATGCATGCTAGTGGCCATAAGATTGAATATAGATAAGACCCTGACCTAAAATCTCCTGTGTCTCCCCTGGACTGGTAAGAAAGTTAACTTCAGATAGGGTTTGAAATAGACCTATGCAGCCTCTTGCGAGATTACTAGTTGAAACTGAAGAGCTGCCTCACTCTTACTGTCTTGGTGGCGGCAGGGTGACAGTTGCACTAGAGAGCCTGTAGAAGTCCTTGTTATCAACCTGTCTGATTGACAGACCAGGATTACCACTGTAATAGCAGGTAGTCAATTTGGCCTGGATGACTCTTTGCTCGCTCGAGGACAGAGTATACGGCCGTGTGACAAGGTTAATCTCGGTTGTTCCTCATGCTGCAGTTTGTGGCTTGACCCGGAGAGCATAGGAGTACTGTTATTCTTATAGTCGGTACTAGATTCTCTGCTTGAGGGAGTGTTAGGTGAGACGCTTGGTACAGTAGATGTACTGTCTATTAGGTCTCCCAGGCTTATAGTTACCAACGATTTGCTTGGGCTAACTGCCATAGTATTTTCCTTTGTTCCTTTCCCAGCCTTATTTCTACTATGATTATATGTAATTATCCACAGATCACAATTTACATTAAAAAAAAGATACATAAGGGGCAGATAATATCCAGGAGCAAACATTACGGCCTCTTCTTCAGATTAGTACTCCAGTATACTTGAATAGACCCCTGACTTCTTCCCAAATATTGTTCCGAGAATAATCTCGTCACCTCCGACCAAGATAGTCTCTGATCCCTTCTTAGCTTTATCAAAAGGTCCTCCTCCTCAGGGGACCATGGCATGCCTTTCCTGGAGCTCATTTGGCGCGAGCTGGTTTCATCCTCATTCGAAGGTGTTGGGGCCGCATGAGGCCGGGTCCGGCGACGGGGTGACGGCACATCTCTGTCTTCTAGTCCACTTGCCATGGGCACAATACCAGTGGCAATGTCAGAGCTAGACATGCAGCGTTGTAGTGCACCTTCAAACAGCCAGGAAAGAAATTATGATCTTACATCGAACAGCAAAGACTGGAAGTGAGAACGAAGGGAACCGAAGGAATCAGGTTCGTGTTCATGTTCATGCACTTTAGCGGCGGTTCGAGGCCGTTTGAGAGGCCATTCTTCTAATGCCTTTATCCTGCTGGACAGTTGCTTGCAAGTTTTCGACTATTTATATCCATAGGAATTTTGGGCTTCACCGTCAGAGCAAATAAGGTTGGTTTCACAGTTTAGGCTATGAGGACGATCAACAACATGAGTCATACTATCCTCATCGACAGACCGTTCGCTGGAACTTGGGTGATGATCGGGCGTGATTTATAGCACGGGTGGGGGCTCGGGATATAAATGAGCTAGCTCTTAGTCACTAGGAATAATATAGCAACTTTAGTAGACAGCTTGGCGCAGCTCACTGGCTTCCAAGGAATCTTCATCACCAAGGATAACCAGATCAATAGGGATAGCATTCAGTTCATCTGAAAACCTGAACTCTTCCAAGCTACTCATGCTGTGCGAGGATGGAGTATCCGCAACAGCATCCTAGACAAAGGGCAACTCAATAAGGCTATCAGCAGCACTTTGGAAGTCAACTAGGGGGTGCGAACCCAAATTCAGGAAACAAGGATGCAATTAGGCTTGCGGAGGTGTAGTGACATAGCCAAAGTTACCCGCCTGCGACGTGGAGGAGACTGAAACCAAGTTCTCCTTTATTTGGTGAGAGGAGCCTGATGGAGTGCGTGACCAGACATTAGGATGCACACACACTTCAGCTAGTGGCCATGCAGGGAGGAGATGCTGCCGGTCATTTATCAGTAGAGTGGTCAAAAGCTTTGAGGAAGCACCATCATGAGGTGGTTTAGGAAGAGAGGGACTGTTGGCAACAGAGACAGGAGGAGTCGGGTATCAGGGGTGATTTAGGTGCTTATGTGATGGGAGTGATTTGGTGCGAGGGCGATGTAGGGGATGAGGGGGATTCCATTGTCTGAAGGTGTCGACATAAAAAGTGCTATTAACCACCATGTTGATGGAAACGGTATATGGGGGAGGGGATAATGATGGGGGAAGGGGAGGAGATTGTAAGGATTGTGAGGGATGGCTAATCATGATGATGCTCTGTTCTAGAGGTTCTATCAGCCTCCTTATACCTTTTCCCTCATCTCTGTCTCCCAGTCTCCATCTCCCCCAGCAGAAAAAAATGGGGGAAAAAAAGAAAAAGGACGCGGCACTAGCATCCAGGCATCACATCATACAGACAACCACAGAATCCTGGCACTATTCAAAACCATCATTTCCCAGATTACTCCGTCCCCACCTTTCTTTATCAGCCAAGGAGGCCAGGTATGAGAGAAATCCACGGGCTGCAGTTTTCTTCCACTTCATCCATGCCTGTTCTCCAAGCCCTATCCACCTGCTGACGCATCCACTCTAAGGAAAAGTAGTCTCCTGATACTAGAATCACACTAAAAATAGACTCAGCCCAAATTACATCCAAACAGTTTTATTAATCCCCACCATATATAGAAGGACATCGAACAGAGTGCAGTACAGCATTTTTACTATTAGGTGGTAAACACAAACAGGGATCCAGTAGCAAAATTACACATAGAGTCCAAGGGATAATCAGACAGGGAGGCGATGTCACCAGAGGGCCCGGCCCAAATTTCTTCCTAGTTAAATGGACGCCATCTCCGACATGTGGCTGGCTAAGAAAATCATTGTCTTGCTCCTACACCACAATAGTTTTGCAAATTATAACATAGAATAAATCAGAGAAAGCAGAGAAATGGTAAAGATTCTAAAATCCTTCAAATATCTAGAGTTAATAATAGACTCCCTCACAATTATAAGCACAAGATTCCAATCACAGCTGCCAAAAATGAGCGGGTTATATATCCAATCCAGCCATAATCAAGGGGACTCCACCAGGAACAGGATAGAAACACAGCACCTCCGGTCAATCCCTACAAAGTAACCAATTCCTAGGGCAAATGAGTCAGACGACATATCCATATCGGCGAC